ATAAAATCAAAGAATTCAACTGAATTATTATTATTATTATTATTATTATTATTATTATAAATATAATTATGATTACAGTCATCATTAAAAATGCCTGTCATATACACTGCCTTGTTCTTTTAATTTGTTTGTATGTATATTTACTTTCTTTCGCTTATTCGTGTCTACTTTTCAATTAGCCATTCATCTGTTAATAAAGCAAAAGAAAAACTTATTATTACTATTATTATTATTATTATTAATATAATAGGAATGAATGATGAGGAATGAGTATAGGATATTGGTGGGAAAGCCAGAAGGTAAGAGACTACAGGGACAACCAAGGCGTCAGTGGGTGGACAACATTAAAATGGATCTTAGAGAGATAAGATTGGATGGTATGGATTGGATAGATCTGGCTCAGGATAGGGACCGGTAGAGGGCTCTTGTGAACTTGGTAATGAACCTTCGAGTTCCATAAAAATGCTGGGAAATTCTTGAGTAGCTGCTGAATTGGCGGCACCTCCAGAAGAGCTCAGCTCCAAGAGTAAGTATTACTATAATTATTATTAAAATTATAGGATGAAGCCTCAAAAGTTCCACACTACAACCATGTTTGTAATTATTAACCTAAAAACAAAATTTTTACGAATGTTTTTGATATTCGTCACTACAAATTTTCACGTACTCATCTCCAACGGTCCATTAGTGATCGCTGTCAAACGGAAACACATAAAATTTCAAAATATCTCCGTGTTATTGCTTTATCGTCTACAAATGAGCATTGTCCTGAGGGGAACTACACTTTTTAACAACTATAACCGCATCTTATACCTCATGAGGGGCCTCTTATATCGATTGCCTCTGGTGTTGTCCCCATCTAACCTTAATTCCATACACCCTCGCCAGTTTGTTATCACTGCCTTTTGGAAATTGGATGTTACAAAGTTGCAATGGTCTCCAGTTACATTAATATTATATGAAACTTTGTGAAAATTGGTCAAATCTTCTCAAATTTAAGTGTGAACGCCTATATATAGCACTGCATTCTTCCATACAAAATTTTAGACAGTTTCCTCCCCTGATGTTTTTCAGTGTTACTGTGCAAAGTGAGCGGCGATACACTCTGAGGTTATCAAAGAAATCAGACGTGTGCTGAATCATGGTGATCGACAGGAAATAGAAATTTCATGTTTGCTGAATCATAGTGTTTGCTGAATCATGGTGATCAGACAAGAAAAACTGTTTATGTCATGAAATTTTCTAAGAAAAGACTGCTCGTGTTTAATTTATGATAAAGAATTGAGATACTGCGACCTTGCAACTGGCTCACACGTTATAGAGCGAGTGAGCCAATCATGACCTGCAAAAATCAGACCTCATTACGTGCATGATAAAACATTAAAAATAACTTGATCCACCATCAATTTTATTTCTTCATACTTTATGTAGAATAAATAGGCCTATAACAATTTTAATAAATAAATAAATTAGTGTGTGAAAATATTAATATATACTACATAATTTGGAACTAAAACATTCTAAGTATACAAGTAATATATATTCTATATATAAAATAATAAGTAACAGTTATAAATAAAGACATACTCGTATGAGATAATGAAAGGTCTGGTTCTAACAATAATTTACTTTACTTCAACTGGCTACAGAAAACAGAGCGGACTACGGCCAGATTTTGTGCACCAAGCGTTGTAAAAACAGTAAGGGATTAAATAAGAGCATGGAATATGGTAGCAGACTTAATAATCCATAATACTCTCCCGTGTTCGGGATTGCGTGACTAATAATTGTGGATTCTTGGTTTGAGAATTATGTTTATTTCACGTCAGTATCACAGTTACACGTTCAATTCTTTTTGGATAACTAATGCCCCATGCTGTCTGCATCTTTTGAGACTCACTTTTGCACTCTTGGCTTCAATTCTGAACTCAGACCTTCACTTCTAAACTCTGAGCTCTGAACTGCTCTTCCTTTATTCCTGCTAGGCTAATCGGATAGGAATCACCTCCTTGAAGCGTTTCTTTTCTGATATCCGTGGTAACAGTGTGTTTAGAATGTTACCACGGATATGTCTCCAATAGCTCCATAAAAACACAGAGTAACGGTGTGTTTCGAGTTACCACGGATATGTCTCCAATAGCTCCATAAAAACACAGAGTAACGGTGTGTTTCGAGTTACCACGGATATGTCTCCAATAGCTCCATAAAAACACAGAGTAACGGTGTGTTTCGAGTTACCACGGATATGTCTCCAATAGCTCCATAAAAACACAGAGTAACGGTGTGTTTCGAGTTACCACGGATATGTCTCCAATAGCTCCATAAAAACACAGAGTAACGGTGTGTTTCGAGTTACCACGGATATGTCTCCAATAGCTCCATAAAAACACAGAGTAACGGTGTGTTTCGAGTTACCACGGATATGTCTCCAATAGCTCCATAAAAACACAGAGTAACGGTGTGTTTCGAGTTACCACGGATATGTCTCCAATAGCTCCATAAAAACACAGAGTAACGGTGTGTTTCGAGTTACCACGGATATGTCTCCAATAGCTCCATAAAAACACAGAGTAACGGTGTGTTTCGAGTTACCACGGATATGTCTCCAATAGCTCCATAAAAACACAGAGTAACGGTGTGTTTCGAGTTACCACGGATATGTCTCCAATAGCTCCATAAAAACACAGAGTAACAGTGTGTTTCGAGTTACCACGGGAACGCGCCCCGCGAAGCTCCGCCCAGCAGATGCGCAGGTTGCGGCTTTCAGGTGGTACGTCACAACAATTTGCTTATGTCTTCACTGTATACATATAACACATGCTCGGTCGGTGTGAATAATATAGTAGATAGGAAATGCTGTGTTTAAATTTTTCTCGTGGCACTCTCTGGGTGACAAGTATGAGAACTTCTTCGTTTCTGATGTGTTGAATATTATTGTTATTGTTCATGCTGCTAGGATTATTATTAATTATGGTTTCATTTTCTCAGTTTGGTTCCACACAAATCGAAGAATACAAGGATCACCTTAGAAACTTTCCCAACCCCCCCCCTTCTTGCTCCCAATTTGGAGCATAGGGCTGATTTGTCAGTTTCATGATCACTTTACAGACGGTAGGACCCTTTTGACGAGTGATCAGCCCGTCGCAAGGTCTCTGCCTAAACATAAAATTAAAAAACACAGAATAAACGCATACACACACCAAATATCCATGCCTTGTATGCGATTCGAACCCACGATCCCGGCCCCCGAGCGGGCGAAGACAGTACATGCCTTAAACCGCTCCGTTACCGAGACCGTATTTCCCTAATTTCGTTAGACCATACGCGTATTCGTTTGTTCACAAGGTCAGTCTATTTTCAATAACCTTGATTTGTCTCTGATACTGATGTTGCTTATGCACTGCCCGTTCCCAGCATAAGAAGGTCTCTAACTGCGCATCATCTCTTATTTACTTACTTACTTACTTACTCTCATTGAGGTCCTACTTATTTTAAATGAAACACTGAGTTGTGTTTGGAATTGTTTAGTCAACATTTTGTTTTGTTGTGTCATTATCAGGGCTGTGCATTAGAGTTTTGTCCTTTTCTAGGTTCTTAGTGATGATTTATTTGGTCTGTGATCTAGTGGTCAGAGTTCCTGGCTACAGATCCAGAGATCCGGGTTCGATTCCCGGCGCTACCAGATTCTTTCGGAGAAGTAGTGGGTCTGGAACGGGGTCCACTCAGCCTCGTGATGATAATTGAGGAGCTATTTCAAGGAAATAGAGGCTCCGGTCTAGAAAACCGAAATTAACGGCCGTGGGGATTCGTTGCGCTGACCACACGACACCCTCTATCCGCTGAAGTTGGCACTAAGTTCGCTGAGAAGCTGCGGTCGCTCGGTCGGTGTAGTTCACTTGTGGACTGAAATTACGGAATTTATCATTTTAGAAAGAGTTTCTCTTCATTTTCCTACCCGAAAAGCAGGTGACGTCCTTTTCAGCTGTATTCCTAGCTACCGCCACGCTACTGTTCAAAACTCTGAAGAATTAAGGACAAGACCTTGGATGTTACATACCTCCAAACAACTTCTCTCCTGATAATGTGAGGATGGAGAAATCTGGGAGGTTATGATTGGAGAAGTATCGACCATTAAGTGTGGACAATAAATCTGTGCAGAAATCTGGCTGGGAAACTTATAGTAAAACTTCAATTTGCATTACCGAGAAAAGAGTGAAGTGTGGACTCTGAATTCATATAAAGGCAGAATTTAGTATTTATGTTAATGAACTTCGGTTCGTAACACGACTCAGCTTCAGACATCTGTGCACGGCAGAATTGTCTACAAAAAGGGAAAGCTATCCCTGTAACAGGACGCGAAGGCCCAATAGGATTGTGAGACGTCGAGGCTCCCACATTTTCTAGGCAGTCAGACGGTGAGGTTATCAGGCTTACGTGCTGGCAGCCCTTTTACCCGCCAAGAAGTTTCCTGGTACTCGTTTCTGTTCGAGGCTGAGTCGACCCCAGTGTAATAGTGCGGCTGGTAGAATTAGGTCAATTGAAAAATCCAATGATCTCATTGGGATTCGAAACCGCAACCTTCTGGCTTGTAACTTCCTATATTCCTTTCCCCAGTCTTTTTGTCGCCACACTCCTAAACACCGCCAATAAAGCAAAAAAAAAAATACTTCCAAGCCTGCAGGTGCAAGTCGACTACAGGTTGAATGGCATTACTTCAGCCACTCCTTTACGCTCTGTTCACAAACCCATCTCGCAACTTCTCTGTCCTTCATTTCAGGCTATCATATTTCGATACTGACAACGTTGCTAAAACAACTTAACCGAGATAAGTACAGAATTACAGTATTCTATAAGCTACTGTGATAACATTGGGCTAATAAGCCCGCCTATGACAGGATGATGATCCTTCCACCGAAGGAGCCTATGTTTTTCAATTGAGGTCAATTGGAAAACGTCGAGATAAGTACATGAATGTTAGACTGTGACCTCCAATGCACATCCTCTCCTACCCTATTACAGGGTACGTTCTCCTTCCTTGCTGGCCAGAAGCGGCAACCGTTTCGTTTCTTCCAGTATTACGGCTTCAAAGGCCGAGGTGGACACACGTTTTATGCCAAGCCAACAATATTCTCACTAGAGCGTTCCGCGTGCCGGAGTGCTTTAACACTTAACTCGAGTACATAACTTGAACACATAATATTCTTTGCTTGAGTTGACCATATAAATTTAAAATTGCAGAGTAACAAGGAACTGAAATTCTAAATATTAGCTATTTATGACATATTCTTGTGATTCTACAGAAAAATGGCGCTATCGTTAGATTGGTTAACGATCAGTCTGACCCTCTTTCCTCTTCTTTTTATCAGCTTATATCTTTATTTCGTTCGAAATTTCAACTTCTGGAAGAATCTCGGTGTCCCTTACGTCAAACCACTGCCATTTGTAGGCAATCTCAAGGAATGTGCCTTGCAGAAACTAAATATTGGGGCACAGCTTAAGAAATTTTATGAAGAACACGGTGATAAGCCGTATGTGGGGATCTTCTCGTTCGATCGGCCGAGTTTGTTGGTTCGTGACCCGAAGTTGGTGAAGAATATTCTGGTGAAGGATTCAAACAACTTTGCAGACCGCATAGTCCAAGTAGACGGTAATTCGGACACCTTGTTCGGAAGGAATCTCTTTATGTTGAAAGGACAACGCTGGAGACAAATCAGAGTAAATTTAACTCCGGTATTTACGTCGGGTAAAATGAAGAACATGTTCTACCTGGTACTTCTTTGCTGTAAGGACCTGACAGACTTCCTGGATAGGACAACGTCTGGCGGTAAGTGATCTCAGGACTAAAAATTCCGCAGAAATTTAAAAAGTAAAATAAATCTAGGAATGATTATTAGATATAATAAGGAAAAACACAAAAACTTTAACTGACGCTAGTAAGGAGATTGGTCTAGAAGTAAACACAGAGAAAACTAAGTACTAGTATATGTTGCTGTCTTGTGACCAGAATGCAGGGTAAAATCAGGACATGACGATAACTAACAAATATTTTGAAAATGTGGCACAGTTCAGATATTGGAACGATTTTAGCAGATTAAAATTTGATTCAGGAGGAAATTAATAGGAGATTGAATTCGGGTAATGGTTTCTACCGTTCAGTCTAGAAGCTTTTATCTTCTCATCTGTCTAAAAACATAAATATCAGAATACGCAAAAGTATACACAAAGATATTGGGTTTTCGGACTTTTCCTCACCTGATGACGGAAACAGATCCAGTTTCCGAAAAGTCGTATTTTTCTTAGTTATCTTAAAACCAGGACGCGGGGTAAAGTCCGAAAACCCAATATCTCTGTGTGTTATACACCATCGTCAGAATCCTATAGTAACTACACGCAAAATTATAATATTGCCTCTGGTTTTGTATGAGTATTAGGCTTGACCTCTGACATTAAGGGAGCAACAGGGACTGAGGGTGTCTGAGATCAGGACCGAAGAGAGATGAAATAACAGGAGGTTAGAGATAAGAGCATAATGACGAGCTTCACAACTTGTACTCTTCTCCAAGTATGATTAGTATGATCAAGTCATGGATGATGAAATGGGACGTGCATGTAGTACGAATGAGAGTGAAGAGGAATGCATGTAGGATACTGATGGCACAGACCACTAGGCAGACCAAAACGTAGCTGGGTGGATGATAATAAAGTGAATCTTAGAGATATAGGATGGGGTGATGTGGGCTGGATCGAACTGGCGAGTGGAGGGCTCTTGTGAAGACGGTAATGAACTTTCCGATTCCATAAATTTCTAGAAAATTCTTGAGAATCTACAAAATCGGCGGCTTATAAGGGGCTCAGCTCCATGTATTCAGTTGGTTTTTAGGAGTGCTTGTAGGTTCTAAAGGGAAGAGAAGGGAAGGGTTTTCTTGACACCGGGTCCTGACTAGTCTCGACGGAGCGCTTGTTACCTGTTCACGTACACATTAATACAGGCTTCGACAAAATACGGTGGCAAGCTGCTTTAAAATGGCTGATTTTGTCATCCACGGCAGCTGTAACTTCACTCTCCCACGCAAGTGGTACGTGGCAGTGTTTGCCTTGTGACGGACGGATTTGTGCGTTCTTCCCCTCTGAATACGAGAAAAAGGTTTTAGTGTGTCGTCTCTATGGCCCTGTGTGTGTCCGCAAGCCCCTCACTGAACAGTCGGGTTTACAAGTAACATTCTAGACCTGTATTCGGAAGTTTCTGCTTTGTGATCTTGTCTCAGAGATTTCTTTCCTTCCAGGTTAAGCTTCAGGGCCGCATGTTACCCACCGAGGCGAGATATATTGTGCCCTCATAAGGTTAAAATTTCCATCTTGAAATTTTAGGTGCCGTGGAGCCTCTTTTGGGCTTCTTAAACTTTATTTTTAGTACGATTTTATGTTCTAGTTGCTAGCTCCCTGTTAACTTTGTACTCGTTTATTTGTTATATACCCATTTCATTCAATTGTAACTTACATTTGTAAGTTTTGTTTTTGCTAATACACGTTTTCAATAACGAAAATATTCTTCCACTGTGGCTTAACTGCAGCAACGCTGAACTGCCTACCCTCCACACACATGATCCGGGGCGAGCAGAGTATGTGACAAAGAGACAGAGAGGATGAATCGTTTTTCATTTTACTTAATATTGATAAGAAGTTCTTGGAAGAGCTAATCGTCTTCTGTCCTTTGATACGACACGGATCTCATAGAAAACGACCCCTCCACCAATTTTTTATTGCAGTGGTAACGTTTTTACCGAGTTGTTACTTAGCAACGGTAAGGGGAAACAGACTAACAAAAACAAGGGTCCAGTAATTCTATTATTACGTGTATTCATTACCGCAGGAACGTTTTTACCCAGCCGTTGCCTAGTAACGACAGGGGGGAGACACATACGGACCCACAGACCGATGGGAAGGATTTATGAAGTATTCCGTTGAGATGGGCTTAAGTGCCATGATATATACAGTACCAGGTTATATGAAGATAGGTTCAGGCATTCAGAAGTTATAAGGGAGGGATTAACCGACACATAGATAGCACAAATATTGCATAAGCTTACTTTAGGAAACAGGGCCGATTATGAATAATGTAGTTTACTTTATAAAGTCTTCCTTTTCCCCACACAATCTACTGTGTGTTTCATACGGTTCTCAGAATAAACACCGATCATTTCTCTGGAATACATTAACCAACCTGCCTTTGTAATACAAACACAAGGTGCTTCATATTATTTAGGGAAAATGAAATCAAAATTTCTCCATATTCCCTTCCTCAAAATTTAATATAAAAAAAATTGCTACTGAATACAGCATAAACTCTTCCGGGCTTTTCATAAAGTAGAAACATCTACATCTCATCATTTCATGTTATTTCCGAGCTATCCTTGTCTGAAGGATGAACAGGCACTGCCTGGGAAGTTTCAGAGCCGGAAATATTTCTTCCCTGGATGGAATACCTGTCGTTACTCCTTCCCACTTTTTATTCATATCTTTCTCTTCCTTGTCTTTCACTCTGTCCGCATGTTATTTTCCGAGCTGCGCGTCTCTCTTACTACGATATTTAATTATAAGTTCCTCTGTCGCCCCGGTGTTTCTTCTTCATATGCATGAGTCTGTGTTTCACTAGAAGTTTCCCCGTTTTCTCTTCTTCATATGCATGCATCTGTGTTTCACTAGAAGTTTCCCCGTTATTTCTTCATCATATGCATGAGTCTGTGTTTCGCTAGAAGTTTCCCCGTTATTTTTTCATCATATGCATGAGTCTGTGTTTTACTAGAATTTTCCCCGTTATCTCTTCTTCATATGCATGCATCTGTGTTTCACTAGACGTTTCCCCGTTGTTTCTTCATCATATGCATGGGTCTGTGTTTCACTAGAAGTTTCCCCGTTATTTTTTCATCATATGCATGAGTCTGTGTTTCACTAAAAGTTTCCCCGTTATTTCTGCATCATATGCATGAGACTGTGTTTCACTAGAAGTTTCCCCGTTGTTTCTTCATGTGCATGAGTCTGTGTTTCAGACAATTCCACAGTAGCTGTAGCCACATTCCTACGAGAAGAGTCTATTGAACAGTAGGCGATTAACCACTCCACATTCCTAACATCTGCAAAGGGCACGACAGAACGGGTTTCGTTATAGCTGTGACCTGACAGTCCCTACGAAACAACACAGCAGCAGCATATGTAACGTAGCCTGTTTGCAGGTTCCCCCGTGGACGTGGCGGAGATGATGACCAGGTACACGACAGACGTGATAGCCTCCTGTGCCTTCGGGATCCAAAGCAACTCCCTGAAGAATCCTGACGCAGAGTTCCGGAGATATCTACGGAAAGTACTCGACTTCTCTGTTAAGAAAGGACTGATATCACTAATATGGTTCTTCGCACCTTCCTTTAACACCATTTTTAAATTCAAATTTCTGGACGACAGAACGACCGATTACATCAGGAAGACCGTCTGGAGTACAGTGGAATACAGGTGAGAACAAAGTGTCTTCATTTTCTTTTAGTTTCAGAACAAAATACAAGTACAAAAAATAATAGCAAAATGACTCAACCCTGATTTAATTTAACAAAATTTAACTGAGAAGGGAATGGTCGGATCCGACATGTCGAAACTTGCCCTGATTTCCCCCCCCCCCACTGCAAGAGTACACACAACAAAATCCACTGTCAAAATTTTAGCTGCTAATACGCACTGCAAGTATTTTTTAAAAATTGCTCAACATGGCCAATATTGTAGGCTGCCAGACCCTTGGAGAAATGCCCATCCCTAGCAGAGCAGAGCAGTACGCAACACGCAACACGGCTGACTCAGCCTGGGCTTCCGGTGCATCGGTAGAGAGATAACAGGGCACAAATCTATCGTAATCTGACAAGTACACTTTAGTTTTTCCATTAATAGTTACTCTGACAGAATTTGCAAGTGATTTACTATCCAGATCCAACCGTAGTTACCATTTTATTTTTAGGTTAACAGTGTTTATGCAACTGTATCAATAAGCATTGTAATTTCTTTATATAGGCCTGCTGTTATTCTTGCAAGTGCTGTGTGATCAGTCTGGTTTCGATAAAGAACTGTGTGCCTTCAGGAACCTTGAGGCAAATTGGAACCACAAATTAAAGAGAGGCTGTTTACTTGCAAAAATCTTATATTGACGTATCAAAATCTGGCAAAATGGGAGTAATTTTCAATATTTCATTCGAACCGTCTTCTTACCCGTTGCAGAAAATAATTCATTGCTTTTGTTGGACTCTTGCCCTGGATATAATGACACCTCTGTCCTTCAGGAAGACGACCAGAAAACTGTTGATATGATGAGAATTCCCCCAGGAACAACAACTGTGATTCAACCACTTGATAAAGAATTTTTTCGACAGTGGAAAGCATTTTTCAGAAAACTGTCGGACAGTATACTTTCTGATAGCTCTGTGTCATTTCAGGTCTTTCAACGGAACAGTGTTCTTAAACTTCAGCCATTTGTACATTACCAGTTTTCATCGCCACGTTTTACGAACTTGATAAAGTATGCCTGGTACGCAGCCCGATATGCAGAACAACGGCCAGGCCCACTTCTTACTCCATCCCAGTTTTGTCTATAAAAAAAAAACTCTTACTCACTGCGAAGTGCCTAAATGCATTAACTTTTCATTCGTTAGGTGTGCGTGGCGTAAAGAAAATGTCTGTTTTCATCACGCCATAGACACTTCGCAATTTTGTGACGACTATAAAGAATGAACAACGAACTGCTTCATTGTGGGTAAAAAAGTATTACAGACGATGTACGTATGTGCATTATGTCCATTATAACAAACTAAATCCTCCAGTAGGGAGATGCACGATCGTTCGTCCTTATTGCCCAAGATCAAGCTCGCGCTGTCTCGTCACAGCTGTTGTGAGATCTAGGAAGCGTTGTACAAGCGGTTCCGCTTACAGAAAAAAATGAGTAACTTCGGCAATTTAAAAAAAAAAACTTGCAGTGGGTATTAGCAGCTAAAATTTTTACAGTGGATTTTGTTGTGCATACTCTTGCAGAAAAAAAGGCAGGTTTCGACATGTCGGATCAGACTACTCCCTTGTGAGAATTTTCTGGGAACTAGTAGGTCTGGAACGGGGTCCACTCAGCCTCGTGAGGATAATTGAGGAACTGTTTGAAGGAAATAGAGGCTCCGGTCTAGAAAACCGAAATTAACAACCGTGGGAATTCGTTGCGCTTACTACGCGACATCCTCTATCTGCTAAAGTTATCACTAACTTCGCCGACAAGCGGCGGTTGCTCGGTCGGTATAGTTCGCTTGCGGACTCAAGCCACGGAGATTTAAAATTTAAGATAGCTACTAATACGACCTTCACGTTAAGACCACTTACGCTCTGCAACAGCAACTTGTCAGCGTTCAGAAAGGAAACTTATTAAAAATGTGTCCATTCTCTACAATCCATCTTCGTACAGCGGAATTCCGCATTATCAGCTGACTCGCTTCCACCGAAAAATAGCCCGATTCTTCCTCCGGAGTTGCGCTTGGAAAGGAATTCCGCGTATTTAAGGAATCTAAAGAAATATTAGGAATTATTAAGTTGTTTATACTTTGTACATCGTCCGGTATTCTATAGTGTTTCTGCAATACCGGGTGGTGGGCAATGCCCAAAACCCCAGTAATTCCGAGTGTTATGAGCTCTTTGGAATTGAAGGCACAAAAGATTTAAGAGAAAGATACATTTCTTTGCCACTGCATTCACAATGACTGCAGGGCCCATCTGGCCTCTTGTACAATGTATCGATTTTTTCAACGGGCATTATCTTGAAGCTAACTTCAAATCTATCTAATGGCAAGCGTGAGAATGCATGTGTGAGTTGGTGGTTAAGAAACAGGGAGAGTTCTATTTTGTAACGTCCTTAATAATTAAATTTAAAAACACCCACAAAAAGGAACAAAATTATAATTACATATTCGTCATTAAGAAAGTTAATTTAGTTCCTTAATATCAGCTATTAAGAGAACGGAAACTCTCACAAAAAGCGAAGCTATAAAACGATCTCATATTTCTTTGTCATGGTTTATTTCTCAATAAAATTCCGTGCAAATGAGGTAGTTATTGTCACGTTAACTTTAATAACACAGTTAAGCTTGTGTTCAACACAATACAGTCTCGAATTTCATAGCGTCATTAAATTACGTATTTAAAACAGCGCCGTTGGCTCTTAGAAACTATATTTCGGTATAGCAAAAAGAATACTCCTTTTCTTGCGTAATAATGTCTGTAGGCCTAAATCATCTTCCCTTCATCGTGTATCTTTAGAATCTATTCCAAATTTCGATATGCCGGAAAGCCAAACTCAAGATCCTGTTGGATCTCGACGAATTCCGCAGCCTAGTGTAATACGCCATTTTGAATTTATTCATTCTCTGTGTTATGCACCGACATCCATAAGAACTGCACAAATAGCATGCAAACAACTGACGCCGCAGAAGGAAGGCAGCGCATGAAAACGTAACGAGTGATAATCACCAGGAAATGTCTTTTAATGAGTGGATGACGTAAAACGGAAAATATTAAATTTCTTCAAATTAGGAAACAATTTATTTTAAGTACATTACAAATATATTGTAGCAGTTTTGGCAAGCTGGACAGATGCATGAAGGGCCGAAACACGAAGCAAATTTCCAACGGTTTATTTGTAATTTTTATGTAAAAGAGTAATTGTAAATAAATTTGCATTTCAGAAGAAAGGGAATTTGTGTAAGTGAAACAGTCACTCATCAGTGCAATAAGAATTCGTATTCGGACGAGTAAAGAGCATTAAGATAACTGGAAATTTCTATTCGATTTTTGCTGCTCCTCACCAGAGCAACGCGTGTTTAGAATATTTCATTTTCGAAGGCGATTTAACGCTAATATGAATCTATCGCTCTTTCTGTGTAATGATATTGTGTCGCCTAACATAAGGTTACGGACGTTATAATGCCATCCTGCTTCTGGGCAAAGAACTATGTAGATCTATGTGGGATTTGAGGTTCTCACAGCTGTGGTTATGATGAGTTCTGTATTCTGGGACACACTGCCTTGTAGTCTGTTGAAAGTCTACCGGCGTTTCGGAGGAACATGCCGCCTTCATCTTCACGGTCGAAGAATAAACGAAGTAAGAAACCATAGTAAAAGCAGATGGAAAGCAAAGCAATCGTCTTGTCGACATTTAGAAAAGAGAAAAGAAATGGAGGACAAGTCAGTTCCCGTTGGCTCGCCGGAATGACAGAATGAAATGCCAGCATCCACTGGCTCTATCATAACTGAATGAAGCAACAGAAAACAAGAAGAAGATAATAGTTCTACTGTATTTCCCAAGTTTCGTGAGATCCTTAACAAATCTTCATTTTCAAGGTCACACGATACTCACAGCAAGATACCTTTGTATCTTGCTGTGAGTATCGTGTGACCTCACAGCTAGATACAAAGGTATATTCGTTTGGACCCTTTGAGTGTGCTGATATTTCGTTATGAAAGAGTAAAGTCAGTTCCGCTGACCGTTATCTACACCGAATTCAAGAGAATGACGACGCAGGCGCCATGTCACGGCTTGTATGCACACTGAAAGCAAAGCCTGATGATAGATGGCACTGCATCCGCACTCTCAATACATATATAGATTTCTTTCCATAACTCTTCAACCTCACAGCGTGCATATTCAGAGAAATAGCGATTTCCATTTTTCCATTAAGAGCTATAACGTATAATTGTGAATCACAGTGAGGTAGGTGAAGTGTGAGCAAGGATGGTGCTGGTAACTGCAACGGTTTCTTGTTGACATTCCGACCGGTTTTACGCTAGTTTATAAGTTTACTTAAGAGTCCCGTGAACATATGTGATCAGAGCTATACAATGGGTTGGTTTTGGGGATGACACAGCTAACAAGCTTAATCCTTGTAGACGGCGATAACTATCCTCTAAGACCGTATTTAAGCATCCTGTTGCAAGCAACAAATTGTTCCTTTTTCTTCCACCCACACTTTTAACACAACATGTTTCGGCCCTAGATGGCCATCTTCAGGTATTTTAATATATTAAATCTGCTACTGCATTTATATTAAATTAAGTGGTCTGCAACGTGTGGCAGTAGTGTGGTTGAGACACTATGCTACAAGCCGGAAGGTGGCAGGATCGAATCCCGATGAGGTCAATGAATTTATTTTTCTAATTTACCTAATCATTCCAGCAGCACTATGGCCCTGGGGTCGACTCAGCCTCTGACAGAAATGAGTACCAGTAATATTCTTGGAGGTAAAGGGCGGCCGGAGCGTAGGACTGACAACATTACTGCCATATGTAAGCCGATTCTCTAGAAAAAGTGGGAGCCTCAACATCTCACAACCCTATGGGCCTCCACGGCATGTTACAGGGATACTTTTACTTTTACTTTACTTTACTTACAATGTGTGATTTTAGTGCATATTAATTCAGTGTAGCAGTATTAAAACACCTGAAGATGGCCATCTAGGGCCGAAACATGTTATGTTAAAATTGTAAGTGGAAGAAAAAAGGTACAGTTTGTTGCATCATTGACGGACTGTGTTATACATGGACGGTCTATCCAGTAAGGCTCAATTCTGTCGACAAATTAGATTGCATACTGTAGACTATTTGTCTACAATTGTCTAAAAGAATTTCGGATACTGACACCCACAGTTACGTTTATTCTCAGGGAGAAGACTGGGTCAGTACGAAAAGACTTTCTGGATTCCATGATCGAGTTGAGGAACAGGAGCAAACAAGACGCACAAGACGACGTAATATCTTCAAAGAATCAGAAAAACAGCCCCAAATTCGGTAAGTTGAACATTGCGATCATTATGTGGGACGGAGAACAGGCCGGATATTTACAAAACCAAACCCAAAAATTGCATCTGGAACACGCCCAGTCGCCGATATATGAGTCACAGAGAACTGCAAGCAATATATTTATATTAGTTAGTCTCTGGCTTCCCACCGCGGCGGCCTGGATTCGAGCCCGAGTCTAGCCAAGTGGGATTTGTGGTGGACAAAGGGGCGCTGGGGCAGGTTTTCTCCGAGTACTTCGGTTTACCCTGCCAATCATCATTCTATCAATTACTCCACGATCACCCTCACCTATCATCTGGGGCTGGTACAATAGGCCAGAAGTGGCCGCAGTACAAGGGGCTTAGTCCCACCCCACTAGAAATACAATACAATACAATACAATACAATACAATACAATACTATACTATACTATACTATACTGTACATTTTGAAATATAAATAGTTCTTACGATCGCAAACATAATGATACTCATTAAGCACATTTAGGTGCCCGGCTATCAGGTCACTTTCGGTCATATCTCCAGCCAAGTGTGGCCATAGCAGAGTCGTTGCTGGAGCTCGCTTGTGTTATACTATATATGGCTGGCAGTCAAAATGAAATTCCTTGCTTACTTTTTAATACAACTTTTTCAGAAACTTGTTTCCGTCTTCAGGCTTATTAATTCATCACGTTCTTCTGCCCGTCTCTCAGATATTTTGGATAAAAGATATAAAGTGAACTGGAAAAACACATTTTACAGGATAATCCATATATACTGTAGCATTTAGATCCGTTGCTAAGCGGTGATTCTGCAAAAAGCGGCCATTGCTAGGTAACGCTCGTAACAGACACGCATGCAACAATAAATCAACAGGTAAATTATTACATTTTAGAGAAGTTATTATGAAATTCTATCCAGACCGGCTCTGGAGCCCACCCATTGGGTATAGGGGGCTATAAAGCGGCCAAGGCGTGAAGCTAACCACGTCCAGCTTGTGCCGAGGTCAAGAAAATGTGGATCTATACATCCACTCCCCCATACGTCTTCATGGCATAGTGCGTAATTAGTTAAGCACAGGGACAATTTTACTTTTTTTCCGAAACTGTGATCACTAAGAGATGCGTTATTTATTTGAGAGGAGTGGAGATGGGCCCAGGACAGGGCCAGTGGCGTATCCTTCAGAACACAGCAATGAACACAAACGGTGCCCTATAAGAGTTACTATCAGCCTCTTAGGAAGATGTCTGCTCGCTGGTATTGCTTTCTACATAATCTGAAGCACAAAATGACAAAAATGTGACAAAGCCGGAAGGAGCACAATTTGATGAAAAAAAAACTATTTTCTGTTTCAGAAATAGACGGCGATGATTTTGTGGCGCAGGCTTTCGCCTTTTTAATTGCAGGTTTCGAAACGTCCGGCACAACAATGAGTTTCGCTCTGTACGAGCTTGCAATGCATCCAGACATACAGCACAGATTGAGAGAGGAGATCACCAGGGTGATGGCTAAACACCAGGGCGAGCTTACGTATGAAGGGATGCAGGAGATGTCCTACCTCGACATGGTGGTCTCAGGTGAGGGGACTCAGGTAGCTCACATCTGATTCTAATGCTTGTGACAGGAAGCAAGTCCCGTCCATGTTACTGTTGCTTACGGCCTGGATATACAGGTATGTTACTGTTGTAGCCCCTGGATCAGTGTTTCTCTAACTGTGGTCTCGGTACCCAGAGGGTTCACAACTTGAGCGTACCCACTGGGAACTCTTATCTGAAGATGTCTTTTTACGAGTACCTCGAATCTACTCAAAATGAGCTTGAACACTTCACAGACGTAAAGGCGATCTCTATTCTTTTGTATTGCAAACTGTCTTGCAATTTTATTGCAATTGTATTTTTCATGGGAATAGGGTTGTCAGCCTAAATGCGCCGGCCGCCCTTTACGCCCCACGAATATTCCTGGTTCTCATTTTTGTTAGAACCTGAGTCGACTCCAAGACCATAGTGCGGCTGGAAGCATTAGATAAATTAAAAAAATCCACCTAATCGGGATTCGATCCCGCGAACTTCCGGCTTGTAGCATAGTGTCTCAACCAACTCCACTACCGCGTGCCCTATAAATCATTGTGCTGGGGACTAATATCATTGAAGGCACAGCGGAGCAGATAATGTCAGGCAAACTGCTAGACTCCATAAATCAAAACCGTAAAACGTGATTACTTCTGTAAATATGTAAATATTACACGTAGACAACAACTATGTTTTAATTAATGATAGTGAGATGGAACGTGGAGTAGCATATTCAATTCCTATTAATCAAAATTAAATCACGTCCTCCGAAGAGAGATGGGGGCTCCGAAATTGGCAAATTTCAACTTAAAGTCATTCTATTCTTTCGTTCAAAATGGTCAGAGCCTTGGTGATCATCGACGTTTCGGATTGGGGTGGTGACAGTGAAAGAATATACGAGTACTTGAGGTAGAACAGGGCCTCTGTCCAGGCAAGGTGCACTGGCCCCAATTGCGTATGATCACGATCTAGGCTAAATTTTCCTTCCCCCCCCCAAACCGAAAAACGGCCATCAATTATGGTAAACAGCTCACGGCCGTGCCATAGTTCAAGCGGTTAGTCGCTGGCTTCTCACCGCGGCGGCCCGGGTTCGATACCGGGTCTGGTCAAGTGGGATTTGTGGTGGAAAAATTGGCGCAGGGGCAGGTTTTCTCCGAGTACTTCGGTTTACCATGCCAATCTTCATTCCACCAAATTCTCCATCATCATAATCACCCAGGGCAGGCTACAATAGGCCAATCAGTGGCCGCCGTGCCGAGTGGACCCAGTAGGCCAGGATCTCTTAGGTACCTGGCCATTCTTTTCTCGCGTACTGAGTTACCAGCAGCAGTAGAGGACACAGTGCGTTTCTTCAAATTCCAGTATGTGTTCTGCGCACTATGTTCTCGCTTCTGTCTTAAAACTGTGGGCACCTGTCGAGGACTCGGTGTACATCTTGTTCTGTGTTGAGACACTAGCATGTCTTGTGGATACACTGTATCCATTGTAATGTGTTGAACTAGCGGCAGCCATTAAAAGCAGGATGCATGATTTGCGATGGTTCCAAACAAGAGCTCATCTTGAACACATGGACAATCCTTCGTTTGCTGAATAATTAGATCTATAGGGCTGAACTTTATTAACCTTCGAATTGTAGGCCGCTGTTCCCGCCTATATCACTGCACTCTGCTCTACACGTATGTTCACAGAGACACTGAGGAAGTACCCGGTTCTCCCATTTCTGGCCTCTCTACCCGTCTATATCACTGCACTCTGCTCTACACGTATGTTCACAGAGACACTGAGGAAGTACCCGGTTCTCCCATTTCTGGCCTCTCTTCCCGTCTATATCACTTCACTCTGCTCTACACGTATGTTCACAGAGACACTGAGGAAGTACCAGGTTCTCCCATTTCTGGCCGCTCTTCCCGTCTATATCAGTGCACTCTGCTCTATTCGTATGTTCACAGAGACACTGAGGAAGTACCCGGTTCTCCCATTTCTGGACCGGATGTGTGACACGGACTACAAACTTTCTTCCGCCTCCGGATATGGAACAGTAATACTTCCGAAAGGGACCGGGGTTTACATCCCGGTACTCGGTTTACATCATGACCCACAGTACTACCCAGATCCAGATAAATTCGACCCGGAACGTTTCACAGAGGAAAATAAACAGAATCGACCGAACTACACATATCTCCCATTTGGGGAAGGTCCCCGAATTTGCATCGGTAAGAACAAGTGCATATTCAGGATCGGTTTTGAAAAATATTAAAATAATTTACAATGAAGGTTAGAATATAATAAAACTTACACTCTAATTATTAAATATATTCATTCTTACTACCATTATTCTAGCCTAAAGGGTGTAACGGATATACCTTCTCTAAGTAGATTTCTGCATTTCCCTCTTGTTAAGAATGTCATTTCCTCATACAGAATATGGACAGAAACATATTTCTGCAACTATGCTCTCATTAACACGAACATTTTGCATTACAATTTCCAATACATGTTTTAACACTTCTGAAGTTCTGAGAGATTTGTCTTAGAGAGAGGTAGGGTGGTAGGGAATGGATTGGATTCATCTGGACCAGGATAGGAACAAATGAAGGGCACTTGTGAACACGGTAATGAACCTTCGGATTCCACAAAATGCTGAGAATTTTCTGCACAACTGGCGTGTCCTCAAGAAGGACTCAGCTTCATGAGTGAGTGAGTACGCTCTGTCATAGCTATAACTACATTTGGACACTACAGTGTTTGCACCTGTAGTTTGTCTCACATAAAAGTAAAACAGCTGCTCTCAGAGTCCTTCTTTCTCAACTCGCTTATGTGCGCTCAAGTAGGGATGAATAGATTGACAGATATGTAGGCTGAATATTGTGATGCGAAAAAATAAATGAAGGTAAGACTGTACAGTTGTACAGACATATATGAAAGTTATATACTCTTTGTAAAACATCACTATGTGTGTGTGTAAGACGACCATATCCAGCGTCGATCGATTCAGAACTGTGAGCTCTAATCCCGTTCCACTGTTACTTAATATTTTCTTGCTACCCGAGCTACTGTTTCTGTTCACAGGGATGAGGTTTGGGTTCATGCAGGTCAAGGCGGGGCTGATACACATACTATCCCGCTTCGAGGTGTCTCCCTGCAAAGACACGCCCCTGGCGATTGTTTTTGATACGAAGTCCATTCTGTTGAAAATGGACGGAGAGATACCGATGTCTTTCTCAAGAATACACTTGTGACAGCACGGCTACTTGTGAACATCCATCAAGAGGTTTATGTACAATAAGTTAAAAGAAGATATAAATTATATTTTCTATTACTGCACTCATCTCAGAACACATTCCTATGTCCACATATAACTGACATGTAAGTTGACTTTGGATAATGAGCTAATGGTTTGAAAGAAGTAAGCTCCTTCGTTTGTTTGGTTTATTCTAACATTCAGTGTGAAGTACATAAGTTATATATATGTACGTATGGAAGTAAAACATATTGTGGGATCAAAAAGAAAATGTTTCATAAATCCTTAGAAACCTCGTCAAGAGACTTATACTACAAAGTACACATCAGAAAGAGGCACTTCACTTCGTCATCAAAAGAGTTCTATAAGGTCAGTCAGTTGCATAAAAAATTCTGGGCCTCTAATTTTTTCCAAAGGGTAATTAAATCATATCACTTAACATATTTTCTTCATGACCGGCAGAGATTAATGATATTCCTTTTGATTTTGCAAAAGGGAGTTAAAAATCAATAATCAGTACGGCGGTAAGTGTTCATGTATTGCAGAAACAAATCTGTTAACAGTGATAAGCCCTAATCAGTACATGGTACATATCATGTAGTTTAAATTATTTTCTCTTGTATTTAATAAAATTTACATAACACTGAAGTTTAAATAAAATATATGAAGTTAAACTTCTAAACAGTAATAAAAAGAGAACTGTTTGAAGAGTGCCGTCTTGTGGGATATGGTGTAGTGTACATATAATGTGGACCGACGTTTCGGAGGAACGTCAGTCCACATAAGGTTTACACGGTGCTACATTACAGAAGAAGGCATTCTTCATAGCCACCGCCGTGAAAAACTCAAATCTTACAGAGAATTGTTTAGTGAGTAATTATCATAACTTTCATAAACGTTCAGTTCATGTATATCTTACATTGCACGTACTACATACACAAAACAAAAACCAAAAAAAAATCTCCGTGGCCTGTATTCCGCAAGCGAACTATACCGACCACCTCTGTGATCTTGTGATCAGCTTCCCTGGCTACAGATCCAGAGGTCCGGGTTCGATTTCCGGCGCTATCAGATTTTTTTCTGAGAAGTAGTGGGTCTGGAACAGGGTCCACTCAGCCTCGTGAGGATAATTGATGGTCTATTTCAAGGAAAGAGCGGCTCAGGTCTAGAAAACCGAAATTAACGACTATGGGGATTCGTTGCGCTGACCACGCGACACCCTCTATCCGCTAAAGTTGGTACTAACTTCACCGACAAGCGGCGGCCGCTCGGTCGGTGCTACATACTCCGAATTTCGAAATTATAAGACGCTGTTAGTAACAAGATATTTTAGAATCGTTGAGAGATAGTAATGAGTCTGGAGCAGACGGTAGAAGAACAATTGGTAGGTATTCGAAGAAAACTGGCCCCAGTGTCATTTCATTCACCGTAAATTCCAAATGATGTAACGCGGGATCAAACCCGCGTCTTCGCAGTGGGAAGTCGATGACTAACTGCCTGAGCTATGGCGTGAATCTTCAGTAGGCTTACCTTTATCGAAGTAAAAGCACACAGTTAACGTTCGGTTAGACTCTTCATTATAATGCATTTAATGCATTCGGATATGAATAACGCTAAGAGCAAGAACGCATGAATCTGGTTGCATAAGCGTGGATGTTAGACGTCGTTAATAAGACGCTTTATTTTTAATGAAAGCCTACGTAGGCAATAAGTCTTGCCCCTTTCGTTTCATTTAGTTCGTCTCTGCTTGTGTATATGTGCCCTCGTGCTTATTTTGATTAGCATTTTGGCTCTTCTGCGAACAAGTAAATAACTGTAAAATTTATGTAGAACTCGAGGTTCTCACAATGCTGCTTACGAAGACCTCTGTCTTCTGGGATATAACACTGAGCAGTCTGTTGAAAACCAAACGACTTTTTGGAAGAAACATATCACCTTCATTTTCAGGGTCAAATAGTTAGCCGAGCAACACTGCAGCGAGAAAACGGGTGGTGAGCAGAGCCTAGTTAACAACACGGACTATGGGCTGGCTGACACAGACAGAGGGGGTTGGATGGGAATTAGAGACCCGGAGGAGAGTGGGAAGTCTCGAGTCCCACCGCCATTTGTAATACTCATGCGACTTTGTCCGTGGCCTCAGCATGGCCCGCTGCAAAAGTGCATAAACACAGTAAAGTAAAGTAAAGTAAAGTAAAGGTATCCCAGTAACAGGCCGTGGAGGCCCATAGGGTTGTGAGATGTTGAGGCTCCCACATTTTCTAGAAAATCGACTCATAGATGGCGGTAAGGTTGTCAGCCTTACCCACCGGCCGCCCTTTACCCCCAAAAATATTCCAAGAAATTTCCTGGTACTCATTTCTGTTAGAGGCTGAATCGACCCCAGGGCCATAATGCGGCTGGAAGGATTAGGTAAATTGAAAATATCCAATGACATCATCGGTACTCGAACTTGCGATATTCCGGCTCCCAGCATATGACTCAACCAACTACGCTACCCCGTGTCCCTGTATAAATACAGTAATAAAGAAAATGATAGATATTATCATTATAGTTTAAGTACAATAGACCACTGTAGGTCGCGGTGCAAGGGCCGAGAAGGCCCACCCCTCATACATTCATTCATCATTCCAGTTTACTTGCTTAACTATTATATCTATATTTGAATCACAGACGAATGAGGAAGAAAATATTGAATATAGCATAATGTAGACCACTCTCTCGTCTCATATTTTGAAAACAAATTATACCGGCCTGCATAAGCAGCGTCTATTAAGTACACATATATATACAGAACTCCTATGTGAAATATTGTCACGTGTCACGGTGACTGAAGACTGCGTTCGGGTACGTATTTGGATTACTTAGACATCTGTATGCCGTAACTACAATCCTTTATTACACCATTGCTGATTTAAATAATTTACAATAACTCCACACTAATCCTCTCCCTCTATTTTAACTAGTCTTCACCGATTTATAACACAGCAACTATAAACGTCTCCCGAGATCGCACACTCCCAATACCACTGCATAATAGCGCATATATAGTCTTCAAATCACATACTGAATTTTCATAGGCTGACATCATGTACTCTTCTGTATTCCTAGTTCCAGCTCGCTCTGAACCTACAGCACACGGCTCTCGTTATATAGTCGCGGAACGGACATGGTCCTGCAGTAAACACATGTCAAATGATCGCTACCCAGCCTGTCTACTGGCGCCTCGGTCGTATCTACAGAAAACACAGCTTCCTCTATTGTTGCGTGTTGGACAGTGTTAACAGAGTTGTTGCTTGGCAACGCGTTATTCAAATCCGTTACAATATCTTGGCAAAATGAAACTCACAAAAATAAAAGGCAAGGAGTTGTAGCAATTGAATTTTTACGAGGAAGTAAAGTTGTAATGAACGATGGACTTTCGTTCATACGAAACACTGGTTCCCAAGGTGGCTGTCTTCCAGATTTTGCAAGGCAGAAAAACTGACTCCAAAAAACCTGCCTTCATTTCCTTGCACTTCGAGTCCTGTCATGCTTAAACACAACAAAACTGACAGAATGTAAACTGATAGTTACTTAGGAACTGTTATTCGGTAATATTTGCCTCAAGCATTGCTACTGTATGTGAACCAGGGAAAACTGAAGTTAAAATTCTGGATTTTATGCAACGACAACCGTCAGGTCGCGTGTTGCTGTGAGAATATGTTACACCGAACTGCAGACGTAATGTCTGTTCACGCGTGGAGCTGAACCCTTCTTGAGAAGCTATTCAAGAACTTCACAGAATTTTAAGGAACCAAAAGGTTGATTACCGTACTCACAAGAGTCCTCCTTGGTCCCTACCATGAGCCAAATCAATCCAATATTATATCCAATTAATATTATCACCATAACACGAAACGGATAACAGCGAAGCAAAATTAGGAAAATGTAGGAGGGTCTCGATGACATCCAATCAAATTTGACGTATGTGTCTCAAAATCCTCCAAATAATACATTCGAATTACTTTGAAATATATACAGTTCTTTATTTCGTAGGCAATTAGCTATTATACAAACACCTCACATACAAGCATGATGTAACAGGAATTCGAGTCTCATTTCTTCAGTAATCTTACCACGATTATTGGGGTCAACTCTGTAGATATCTCCAAACAAATATGTCCACAATGAAGGTGCTACCGGAGCTCGGCCCGTTACTTTTCATGTCTTGTACTAAACCTGGATATGATTTCGGACATATTCAATCCTCTTGCGTTCTCACCCTCAACTTCAAACATATCGTTTTACGAAACGAATAATTTCCCTCACGAAATATGATGGACGAGAAGTTGCAAAGGACATGGACTCAGCATTGTTGAAATCATGATTATACTGAATTTCAGCAAAGTGTGTTTCACGGTTTATGTCAATATCGGACTCCCGTCTCTTAAAGAGAGACTTAGAAGAAAGCGGAATGCCCCGTGAGATTGTGTCACATTTTCAGGAGTCATATCCTAGGTCACAATGAGTGCAACTGCAAGGTCTTAAGGGCGACGAAATAGAGAGCAAGTGTGAGGAAGTGATAAAAGTCTAGTGACGACAGAAGAAGCCACGTAAGAGGACACTTCGTTACTTGAGAGAATATTTAATTGGATCGTAAAGAAATATTCTGTTCAGGGTGTGGAATGGAAACAGTGGATAATGAAAGGATCCAGTAGTGTCATCTTGAGGAAGAGAAATTCAAAATCGGATATCATAATATGTGAGATATATTTATGCTAAATCAGCTATTATCAGCTTGTTAAAGAAGCATTTTTCCGCAGAATCACACTAATTTTTTTCTCAAAGTAAGGCAGAGACAGAAACATGAAGATATAACAAAGCTGAATGAAGTGGAAAGTGGTTACAACACAAATTTTAAATTTCCTGTTTCAGAATTAGACGAAGATGAATTTGTGGCGCAGGCCTTTCAAATTCTAGCGGGAGGTTTCGAAACGTCCGGCACAACAATGAGTTTCGCTCTGTACGAGCTTGCAATGCATCCAGACATACAGCACAGATTGAGAGAGGAGATCACCCGGGTGATGGCTAAACACCAGGGCGAGCTTACTTATGAAGGGATACAGGAGATGTCCTATCTCGACATGGTGATCTCAGATGAGGGGACTCAAGTAGTTTACATGTGATTCTGAGGGTTATGAGGGAAAGAAGAAGCTCGTTCATGTTGCTGTTGGTTTCACACAGTCTATGATCTGTATACAGAGGGCCACCAGAACAATTTTCCAGGGTACTCTTAAGTTCACAAAGTGGGACATCCCACTGAAAATAGAAAGCTAAAAGTACTCTATCCATAATCAGCTGAGAATTGGCCTAGATACGTATATGACAAATATGCGATGAGCTGATCACCCGCCCAAGGAGTCCTACCGAATTTGTAAGATCTAGAAAAACCGAAGTGAACAGAGATGTTCATGCAGGTAGGCCTAGGTCCACAGGGACTGTAGTGCCAATGAAAAGAAAATATGGCAAATATAAAAGAAATGGCTGCTCATTTATATTAAAAGAACATTTCGGGTTAATGTGTGTTATACATAAGACGCCCCCATTACCCCATGGGGCCCACACTTTCGCTTAAATGATTCATATGGTATAAAAAAATTAAGGGTGGGTGAGTGGAAACACACAGGGAAAGATCGATGAATGGACGGAAGGGCGGAAAGAAGAACATAGACACAGATAGACAAAGAGATAGATTAACTAACTTTATAGAGCTCAGCCCTTTTTGAGAAGCCTTCAATTGTGCAGCAATTCAGTAACTTCCCAGCATTCTATGGAACCAGAAGATTCATTGCCACCTTAACAAGAGCTCTCTTCTCTCCCTATCAATAGACAAATTAATTGAGTCCGCATCATCCCATCCTCTCTCTCTAGTATTCATTTTCATAATAAACTCCCACATATCTCCTGGTTTTCCTAGTGGTCTCTTTCCTTCTGGCTTTCCCACCAATATTCTATATGTATTCTTCTTAACTCCATTCGGCCATATATTTTACGTCCCCCATCCTCCTTGACTTGATCATTCTAATTATACTTGGAGAAGAGTACAAGTTATGAAGCTCCTCATTATGCAGTTTTCTCCAACCTCCTGTCACTTCATCCTTGTTTGGCCCAAATATTCTCCTCAACACCCTGTTCTCAAACACCCTGGGACTAAAGGTCTCGCCGTCGTTATGTCTTCAATAAGCAGAATGAATTAATATATAGTCTGTCCTTTATATATCTCGAACTGCTGGCCGCTGTTCCCGTCTATATCACTGCACTCTTCTCTACATATATATTCACAGAGACACTGAGGAAGTGCACGGTTCTCCCATTTCTAGACCGGATGTGCGGCAGTGACTACACACTTCTTCCGCTTCCGGAAATGGAACTGTAATACGTCCGAAAGGGACAGGGGTTTACATCCCGGTATTCGCTTTGCATTATGACCCGCACTACTACCAAGGTCCGGACAAATTCGACCAGGAAAGTTTCACAGAGGAAAAGAAACAAAATCGACCGAATACACATATCTCCCATTTGGGGAAGGTCCCAGAATTTGCATCGGTAAGAGAAATTTACACGGAATTTAGGAATATAATAAATCAGGATATACTGCTAACTAAAAATACTTACTCTTCCATGTATCTAAGCTAAATCATTTAGTGCACAATTCAAGCTGTACACTGCCGTGTTCATTGTCAAGATTTGGTGATCTTTGTCTTTAGAAATTGACAACCAGCTTCTGCAACTATATGTTAATGTTAACTAACCATAATGAAAACCACGATATGCTCATTTCTAAATTTCCCTCACATACCAACAAAGGGATTGTCCTCAGAAATGTTTTCATCTCTATTGTAGTCCAGCGAACGTGAATACATGAAAGCCTATGTATCCTATACAGAACTGAGTAAAATGTTTAAAACAGCACAGCTGAAGAATTTTAATCCAAATCGTATGTCGTTTGTAAAATATAGGTTAGCTTGTGCAGAAAAAGACGTACCAGGTAGCATCAGTCGAATGCGAACCGCGAGCTGTGAGTTGGAATCTCATTCCAGGGTTCCTTACACCTTCTTAATGTCCGAGCTACTTGTTCTGTTCACAGGGCAGAGGTTCGGGTTGATGCAGGTCGAGGCGGGACTGATAAATATGTTGTCCCTCTTTCGGGTGGTTCCTTTCAAAGACACTCCACTGGCCATTATTTTTTAAGTAAAGTCCTTCCTGTTGAAGATGGACGGAGGGCTACTGTTGGCTTTCGAAAAATTTCAGTGCGAACATCAAAATTAATACAGAGCATACTACTATATGTTTATATATATATATATATAAAGTGAACTTTGTATTAATTCATCATTTTAAAATCATATTTCTCTGACTGCATATAATTAGCACGGAGATATATTTTAATTAATGAGTTAAGAACCTCAGATATTTCCGATCATTTCTGCGTTTTCGTCGACCATAATATTATCATATGGGCGATAATTATGGACGCACGAATGTCACAATATCTTCTGAAAAACTAGGCCAAGCATTCACGCAACTAAGATTATCAGAAAAGCCTAATCCAGCGTTCAGTAAACAACGTCTTCGAATTACTAATATGAGAATAATAGAGGCATTAATGAATTAATGTATAAATTATTACAGTGATTCAGTTTCTCCCAAACAGCTATACAGTCTTACAGTGTTAACTCTATAAAGACTTTATTTATCATCTCATTCATGCAGAGAATGCATGCACCATTCGAATACGTTTCTAAAATATACCTATCAACACACGTAATATCTTAACACTAAGTCAGAAACATATCTGGACAGGTAAAAAATTAAATGTTCATACGACTAAACGTGTAGATCCATCGTTACAGGCCCACATATCCTACTGCAAAGTATACCAGTTCGTCTTATAATGGTTTGGCATATCAGATCTGTATAAATTACTCCAAATTATTGCTGATGGACGACAGCTGGACAAGTATCCGAGGCCTTCTCGTAACTTTCTTGAGATATTCCCAGAGTCAGAGTCAGCGTTACTTTACGACTGACGGTTTACAGCCAATCAGTTCCTCTTGGCGACAAGACCGTAGAGACGCAAGACCAGTAAGTTCATTTTCGAACTGAACACTTGCCGTTGTAGCCCTTACGTAACATCCAACTGTGGAAGTGAGGTCTACGAGTATTAACGTTGCAAATGCATATAGATCTCTGTACAAGAAATACCTCGGAAAATAGGAACTTGCAATACATATAGTGCACGGAATTGTAGCCGTGGGATTGGTTATGAGGGAAGTATTTTGTAAACAGTGATGAGCTGAGTTCGTAACACGCCACGGTCTTCCCATTTCTGCGCGACAGACTTAAGGACTCCATTATACACGTATCTGCATTGCTTTATTCACTGTTACGGACTTGTCCTGTTTAACCCCCACAAAGCTAGCAAGAGAATACTTTCAGGCCGACCATGTCCCGCGGACTACCGTCTGAGTAACATTATTCAGGTCATTGTAGAGTGTAGCCATATATATCTATCTCTCTCTTCTATGTCAGTATGAGAATAAAAAATAGATGAAACGTTTTGTGTTGTTTAGTCTGCAGTTTATGACTAAAGTTCGAGCTGCCTGCCGACCTAAATACGGCGTATGTCCAGTGTTCTTGTATGCAATTCGTCAGTTGCACCACAGCTTCTAAGGCAGACAGGTGGAAACACTCTTCGTGGGAAACCGATAAGTATTTTACTACAATATCGATGTGAACAGCATTGCTTACCTGAGATTTCTAATACGAGTACATCTTCGGACCACCATCCCTTCCATCATCGAGAAATTAACGAGAAACTGAGATACAGAGTTTGTAATTTGAATTGGCACGGAAATTTAAAATTACATACGAATGAATTTCCTAAACTAAAAAAAAACTCCGTGGTTTTAGTCCGCAAGCGAAGTATACCGACCGAGGGGCCACCGCTTGTCGGCGAAGTTAGTGCCAACTTTAGCGGATTGAGGGTGTCGCCTTGTAAGCGCAACGAATCATCACGGCCATTAATTTCTGTTTTCTAGACCCGAAAATTTCTAAATACTGTATTTAATATATTTATGTCATATTTTTGTATTTCAACTCAACCATGGTATTGTTCGAGTGGCTAACGATAAGTCTGACACTTCCTTCTGCACTCTTCATTGGTTTGTATCTTTACTTCACTCGAAACTTCAACTTCTGGAAGAATCTCGGTGTCCCTTACGCAAAACCCTTGCCATTTCTAGGCAATCTCAAAGAATGTGTATCGCTGAAAGTTACCATAGGGAACCATCTTAAGAATTTGTATGATGAACACGGTGACAAGCCATATGTGGGAATCTTCTCGTTTGATAAGCCGAGTCTCTTGGTTCGTGTCCCGGAGTTGGTCAAGAATATTCTAGTGAAGGATGCGAAAATCTTCCAAGACCGTATCCTCACCGTCAATGTTAATCTAGAGCCCATGTTTGGAAGGAGCCTGCCTATGGTGAAAGGGCAACATTGGAGACAACTGAGGGTAAATTTAACTCCGGTTTTTACGCCGAGTAAAATGAAGAACATGTTCTACCTAGTGGATCTCTGCTGTAAGGACCTGACAGACGTCCTGGATAGGGTAGCGACTGAAGGTAAGTGATTCCAGCTCCCCCGTTATAACCCTTCAGGGAAAATCATAAATTAAGAAAAATCAAGCAGCAGCTAGACATTTCTAATAAATAAAAAATCTTACGGTTCCGCTTACGGAAATATAGAATATATTTAATTTTTTGCCCTGAATGAAACACTCTACGGAGCTCTTTATTACATAAAAATTCATATATTAACACAGCGCAGGGGAAAATAATTTCACACTGTATCCTCGAATAGCAGTGTATGACATATATATATGTGTGTGTTTATGGCTGTCTGTGTACATATTGTAGCCTCTACAGCCGTTGCTATACAATGCACCAATAAACGACGGGGTTATGCAACGGGAACAGATCGGTAAACACATTCCCGCTGCAACAAATACGCACGCACTAATAGAAGAAACCGTTTATAAGCAAAGGATCTGTAAACATACAATAATATGGGTCGTTGGAAAGAGTGTTTTCTTTTCGATCCGCGCAAAATGGTTATAACAAAGAGTTGAGTTGAGAAGAAGTTAATCCCTTGTGGAGGCGGGGTCGAATACCTCCAACATAACCCTGCGAGTCGCTAAAGGTGACGAAAATGGAACCCTGGACCTGGGGGTATAACTGGGCCACGCTGTTACATGGGGACATAAATACGGGGATCTTGCCCTTCCAGGTTGGAGGACCCCCGAATATGAGACAATAAATTGTGGTCATGAGTCCCGCTGGACTTGGACATAAGAATGACTGCACTGGCGAGGATCAGGAGCAATTATAAACGACAGATTCATCCTCTTGTTAAGAGGAAGTTACGTACGAGTACATACGGACTAGGACCGCGCGTCTCACGGGGCTAGTCGCCAAGACGAACAAATTAGCGGTAAGCCGCCAGTCGTAAAGTAACCCTGACTCTGACTCTGGAGAACTTACTCGAGTTCCGGAGAGCAGTTACAGCTAGAATTGAGAACTGAGTTGGCAGATGACGAAAATAAAGGGATTAGATTGTGAAAAAAAAAGAACATGTGTGATGCATTTACAGTGAGTCTCGTATAGTTACTATGTTGAAATCCGTTGCCAGGATACAATTATTCAAGACTGAGAACGCTAGTGTGTGTGCAATTGTGAACTGTAATTGTCAGCAGTAGGCGGCAGTTATCAGCTCCATTATCGGTTTGTCCTCAGGTACAGTTCATGAGCAGTGCGATATTTCATGGTGCGGTATAACTTTTGGTGCTTTAGAGGAACGTGAATTTCTGAATGACATCTATATGCAACAATGATCTGCTAGAAACTGTAGGTGAAAATTTCGAAGTAAATTTCGTAATGAAAGAGTTACCAGCAAACAAACAATTCATAATTTGGTGAATAAATTTATATCAACGTGACATTTAAGAGATAACAAACGAAAATATAAGCCTTGAATACTTATTGCGGAGAAGTTAGATGACACAGAGGCCAGATTTGGACATAGAAAATCACTGAAACGTCTAGCTCAAGAGACTGGAGTGCCAAAGTTAGAGCAAGAAAGCAACACAATTGCTTAAGCTTAGATCCTATAAAACAATCCAAGCCTTGCAACCACGCGACCCAGCTATCAGGGTTCATTTCTACAGTTGGTTCCTACAGTCGGTCGCCGAACGTGAGATCGATCCACGATTGACATTCTTTTCGGATGAAACGTGGTTTTACTTGCAGGGATACAAAAATACACAATATAATCGCCACTGGAATTCACATAATCCAAATCTAACTCAAGAAGTGAAAGTTGGTGTCCGGTGTGCTGTAAGTGCAAAAAGGATTGTTGTGCCTGTATTTTAAACAAAAAAAAAAGAACTGCCATAAATACCGTATTTACGCATGTATAGGCCGCAGCACAATTTTCAGACAGAAATTATAGAAAAAATAATTTTCTTGGAATATTATTTCAGGAGTATTACACCCTGTATTACTAATTATGAATATATTTTTTTTTAAATGAAGTGTGATTTCGAATATTTCGAATATAAGCCGCACCCCAGTTTTCCTCTTGAATTTTTGGCAAAAAATGTGAGGCCTATACATGCGTAAATACGGTATCTTGGTGAAGAGGAATAGCATTTTCAACACTTCCTGTGATCTGTGAACTGTCAACTTCTTCATTCCGAACGTTATCAGCTGTAAAGCATTCTGATTCATCGGCAAAATTCGTATTCGTCTCGCGGTAAGCTGCGGCCCGATCGCCGTCAAGTGCAGAGCAGGGGAACCGGTCAACAAATTAAAGATACTCCCTGTAGAATCAATTGGCACATTATAATTCATAAACCTATATTAATCTGTCGTTATTTATGGCGTCGCAAAAGGACGTGTGACCAAGTGTTTTTATATGTATGTGTTTCAGAACTTACTCTATTCACATTCCAGACTTAAATATTTATTTAGCATTGTGTGACTGGAACCTTCTTCACTAATGACAGTAACGCTTATAACATATCGGATTGAACCGGAGAGCTGAAACCCAGTCCCTAACAAACAACTGACATAACGCGGTCTGTTAACAGGTTCCGCTCTGGACGTGAAGGAGACGATGGCCAGGTACACGACCGACGTGATAACCTCCTGTGCATTCGGGATCCAAAGCAACACCCTGAAGGATCCTGACGCAGAATTCCGAAGACACCTACGGAAAGCACTCGACTTCTCAGTTAAGAAAGGACTGGTATCACTATTATGGTTCTTCGCACCTTCCTTTAATTCCATTTTGAAAATAAAATTTATGAATGACACAACGGCCGATTACATCAGGAAGACCATCTGGAGTACAGTGGAATACAGGTAACTTCCCTTTTACTATCACATGAAAATGAAAGATAGAGTAAATAATCCTAAAATAACTTTCATTGGTTTATCAACAAGAAATATTAGTTACCGGTGAATAGAAATTTCGAAGTTAACAACCCGTTTACTCTGTAAACGCTGTTTATCGGAATTTGGACAATAATTCAACGTATAGTGAATTACTTTCTGGACAAGGCACACATGAAACGCATTTTCCGCGATAAAGGATGTCCCAACACCATGGAAAAACCTTAGAACTCCTCTACTGAAGTCGCTGTTCCAAAGGCACTCAGTATATTTCAGGAACAAAGGAAATACAATATGCGCCCAAAACTACAGTACTGAAACTCGCGCATCTCAAACACGCAGGTGCATTTGTCAACGGGGCATAGCTCCAGCCGCACGTGTTCCCAGTAGTGAAAAGGAAGTTGTGTTGTGCAATTGTTGGAAATGGGTCTCTCGACGGAGGAAAAAGTATTCATAGTTGTGTATTATTTCCGCTCATACGGAAGTGGTCGCCAGACAACTCGCTTCCTTGGTTTTGAGCGGCCAGATGTTATCGTCCAGAAACCGCTACACAGTTCACGTGTGACGATATTGTGTGCCGTCTCAGCACACGGTATATTAGGCCCCTATTTCATTGAGGATGAGGAAGGCAATGCTTTTACCGTCACTCAAGAAAGCTACAGGGACATGGTGATCGGACCATTTCTTCAGGATCTGAGAAGATTCTGTCGTTCAAGGGGCCTTCACATGACTAGACAGTGGTATCAACAGGACGTCTTTTCATTTCAGTACCGAAATTTTGGCGACTACTGTATTTATTTATAGGGATTTTCCTTTTCCACCCCTCCAAGAGAGACTCTGGTTGCATCCAATAGAGGGGTTCTTTCCACGGGCAAATGCATGAAAATATCCACAGTTGTATCTAGAGTTTAAGAATGGTTGGAGCTTCAGGTTTCCTCCTCTGTGTGTCTTCATGGTGTTGCCATTTATGTAATAATACTGCTTAGACAGATAGGAGAATACGGAAGTTTCAGAGAAAAAGCGACCATTCGTAAATTTCGCTATGTAAACCCCTCTTCCGGGTCATGAACCATGTAGACCGAAACTGAATTCAGGAAATTTCGGGAGATTCTCGCCATCTGCACCCTCTCGGCCATACACTGTGGCTCCTGCCGATACTCTTACTATAGGTGAGTACCTTCTCTTCTACTCCTTCGTTGTGCATGTACTTCTCTCATATAAAGAAGGCAATGTAACGATCACACAGCGCCATTTGCAGGGACATGCGTCTCTTGCATCAAGTCCGCTGGAACTTAGATGCAGAAGCCATTTCGCGATCTGCAAATGCACTGACCGCAGAGTCTGATGACAGATGGCACGGTAATTCATAGTCTGAATATAGATGTAGATTTATTTTTAAAAAACCTAGCTGAAAATTGCATATTCAGCAAAATGTCGGTGACTGCTTGACGAATAATAGTGGGTTCTAGACTACATGATAGATTTATTGAATATTCACAAGTAGTAACTACAAATAATTATAGCACTCTAACAGTTACTATAACTGTAACACACAAAATAAAGCTTCACCATATGCATATTAGTCTTTGTAAGATTTGAGGCTTTCACGGCGGTGACTATGAAGAAAGCAGTCTTCTGGGATTTGGCACCGTGTATATGTGGTGTTAACCGACGTTTCGGAGGAACGTATCGCCTCCATCTTCAGGGTAGAAGAAAAAATATAAGAAATCTGCAAGCGAAGAGACCGTGAGAAACGGTAAAAGCAGACTTCTACCCTGAAGATTGAGGCGATACGTTCCTCCTAAACGTCGGTTAACACCACATATACACGGTGCCAAATCCCAGAAGACTGCTTTCTTCATACTAGTCTTTGCTTGGTAAGGAATATACTTGGTAAATACTCAACTACTGGACTGCCTTTTAAATTTCTGACTGCCTTCTGAATTTCTGACTGCCTTGAATGACTCTGGCGAATGAATCATTGATTCAGAGTCAGAGTCAGAATTGCTTTATGACTGACGGCTTACAGCTAATCTGTTTTTGTTTTCAACTGAACACTTGCGATAATAGCCCTTATGTAGCATCCTCTCTGACGAGAATATGGGTTTATCTATTATGAATATGTTTGTCCTCATAACATATTTTAGAGATTCTTAATATTGCACTATAAACAAATACAACCTCTAATGTGGTTTGGGATAAGTCTCTGAAAGCAATCCTTGAAGAGTTTCCATGGCCCCTTATATATGCTAGCTCGTATCCGTGGAAATTCACGTAACTGATTTGTGCTTACCAGCTCGGTGCCTACTAAGCAACAGATGTTCTATTGTTGCCTGCGTTTGGAATGTGTTTACCAAGCAACAGCATTCTCTGCCTCCACAGCTTAATGCTCTGAGTAAATCCCGTCACAATATGCAAGTATGAATCACAGCGAACTAAGAAAAGTGTCTTCAAGTATGAAAATCATAACAACAACGAATAACCGTTGAAATTTCAACGTGTGTGATGACAGATTCAAATTTTGTTCATGTTCTCGTGGGCACATGTAATTCAGACTAAGCAGTAAGGTTGAATTTTGTACACAAATTGAATTCCATTATACACGAGTATACTCGAAGATTAATATCTCGCTATAACTCACCACTGAAATCTCAGATACTTTTACTCCCACTTTTTCTCTCTTCAGAGAGAAGACTGGGTTGGTACGAAAAGACTTTCTGGATTCCATGATCGAGTTGAGGAGGAGGGGCAAGACACACATAAAAGAAGACATGAAATCAGCAAAGAAACCGAAAAACGAATTCAAATTACGTAAGTAGAATAATAATAATAATCATCATCATCATCATCATCATCATCATACGGATAACCGCACGGATGTGTACAAAACGAAATGAAGACCTTGAGTCTAGGAAACATCCAGCTGTTGTAGATGTACGAATCACAGACATCTCCAAGTGTTTATGAATGTGTTACTATCCCTGTAACATGTCGTGGAAACCCGTACATTTGTGAGAAGTCGAGGCTCCCACATTTTCTAGACACTCGACACACAGATAGCGGTAAGGTTGCCAACCTTACGCGCCGGCCACCATTTACCCCCCCCCACCCAAGAAGATTCCAGGTACTCATTTCTGTTAGAGGCTGAGTCGATCCCAGGGCCATAGTGCTGCTGGAAGAATTAGGTAAATGGAAAAAAAAAATCGTACTCATCGGGACTCGAACCCGCTACCTTCCGGCTTGTGGCGGAGTGCCTCAGCCAACTTAACGTGATTGAGTTGTTTTAATGTCGATTTGAGCAATGAAATCGACTACTCACGCTAAAGGGAGAACCTGACAAGATACTATTTCTCAGTTCCTCTGAATAGTACGGATTGGTGGGCATCTCAGATACGAAGGCCAAAAATTAAATAAATTTTAGGGAAATATTCCATGCTTATTCCGCTAATTATATTGAAAACATACTAGCAGTTACAGATTGTGGAACAAGGAGAGCATTTATATTCAAGCTGCTGGCTCATATATTGGCTTAATTTATGGAGTATGATATATCGTTGGCCGCGCCATAGCTCAAAGTGTTAGTCGCTGGCTTCCTACAGCGGCGGCCCGATTTCGATCCCGGGTCTGGTTAAGTGGGATTTGTGGTGGACAAAGTGGCGCTGGGGCAGGTTTTCTCCGAGTACTTCGGTTTCCCCTGCCAATCTTCATTCCACCAATTGTTCCACAATCACCCTCACCTATCATCTGGGGCTGGTATAATAGGCCAGAAGTGGCCGCAGTACAAGGGACTTAGTCCCACCCCACTAGCAATAAAAATGATATATCATTCCTAAGTATTAAATAGAATGAATTATCGTCCGTCATTTGTGATTGTCAGATTCGGTTCTGGATCGGAGCGTAGGTGGAATTGGTGGCCAGCTAAGCGTGGCCTGCAGTTAAACCGAACTGGAATTCTTTGAATAATAATGTAAATACATATATATACCAAAAGAAAATATAAAAAATGTAACGTGTTTTGGAACAGAATGCTTATATTAGAGATTCTATAAAATGTGGGATATTTCCCAACCAGAACAGCCACCATCAGCTTTTAAAGAACAGCCCTGTTCTGAGGAATACTCGACCGAGACACTTAAGTTTTCTCAAAATAGGGTAAAGCGCAAGAATGTGGAGATATAAGGAAACTGGGAGCAGCGAAAATTTACTACACAGCAGTTTTGTTTCAGAAATGGAAGGCGATGATTTTGTGGCGCAGGCTTTCATCTTCTTAGCGGGAGGTTTCGAAACGTCCGGCACAACAATGAGTTTCGCTCTGTACGAGCTTGCAATGCATCCAGACATACAGCACAGATTGAGAGAGGAGATCACCAGGGTGATGGCTAAACACCAGGGCGAGCTTACGTATGAAGGGATGCAGGAGATGTCCTACCTCGACATGGTGGTCTCAGGTGAGTGGACTCAAGTAGCTTACATGTGATACTATTGTTTGTAACAGGAAGAAAGGCCCGTCAATGTTATTGTTGTTTACCGCACGGTTAGTATGTGGACAGTTCAAAAGTAAGGTTCCCTTTTTAATTTAAAAAAGTAACAGCACACAGAGTAACTCACGAGACTGAGAAACAGCCTGATATTAATAATACAAATACCGTCGTGAATGCAACAATTTATTTGTTTGTAGTTCTTTGTCTTTTCTTCCTCCACACTATATGTTTCGGCCGTAACTGACCATCATCAGGTGTATTTCTCACTACATAGCTGTCACACTACACACAATCCACAATATAGAACACCAGCCTGTCAGTTTTCATTAAAAAAACTCACCAATATACGCTCGTCAATTTTGATTTTAGAAATCCAGTTTAAAATTTAAAATTTTTAAATTTAAAATTTTTAAAATTTAAAATTTAAAGTTTTAACTCACAGGGATACCTGCTCTGTGTCTACATGTGCTGCAGCGGCGATTTCTTGTTTCCAACACCGTTCATGTATTATTCTGTGCAGGCTCCCTGTGTGTGTTTGTGTGTTGCTGCAAAAGTATTAAAGATGAGCAGCGGCACGCACACAGGGAGCCTGCACAGAATAATACATGAACGGTGTTGGAAACAAGAAATCGCCGCTGCAGCACATGTAGACACAGAGCAGGTATCCCTGTGAGTTAAAACTTTAAATTTTAAATTTTAAAAATTTTAAATTTAAAAATTTTAAATTTTAAACTGGAATTCTAAAATCAAAACTGATGAGCGTATATTGGCGAGATTTTAAACAAAACTGACAGGCTGGTGTGCAGCGTGACAGCTGCGTAGTGCAAAATACACCTGATGATGGCCAGTTACGGCCGAAACATGTAGTGTAGAGGAAGGAAAGACAAAGAACTACAACCAAATAAATTGTTGCATTCACGACGGTATTTGTATTATTACATATAGAAATGTATAGTGCAACAGGACGCTTAAATATAATAGAGACTGATATTAGTTTCACTTCTGCGCACGGTCGCCAAATCCTTCATAGAACTAAACAATGCATCCTGGGCAAATACACTTTTTTACTTCATTTTGAACATCTTTGTTGGAATGGAAGCGCTGACCTTTGAGGTGCTTTATTATCCTTCGTCCAAAATCAGGACTGCACCGGGGACGTAATTAGAATTTCACACTCTCAGGAATTCCAAAGATTCTCGGTTGCTGCAGCACTCTGGGGCCGAATACTGTCTTGCAAATGAACAAATCCTTTGATGAATAATCCTGGTCTCTTGCTCCCAACAGATTCCTTGAGATCCTTTAGAGAGTCCTAGTAAGCAGGAACTTCTACCTTTGAACTTGGAAGTGTGAAATCAATCAAACACTCACTCAACAATTCCCTGCAGACTTCACTGCCTTCGAGCTATGCTTGTTGCTTCTTCAGTAGTACGAGAGGAATTATGAAGAAATCTTAAGAAGAATTGCAATAGGAAATGAGATCTTGGCTTTCCACTACACCCCACAGAACAGGGCTGAATCAATGGCCTGGAAGCATACTCAATCGCCAGTCAAAAAATTAAAAAAATAAAAACGAGGACACGGTGCACAACTTAACGTGTCATGAGGGACTACGAGTAGCACATTTAAGAAAAAATTTATGCCTTATAATGTGTTTAATTACCAGCAACCACTGAACACAAAATATATACACATAATACGTAGAACTTCTTAATTATCGGAATATTATCAGACGTGCTAATGACTAGACCTATAGGTCTAGTCTTTTTGAGTTCAGTAATCTGAAGGTTTTGACACAGCCTGTCCTCTGCCTTGTTTCGAAATGCCCGTCTCTCTTCCCGTCTATTTCACTACACTCTGCTCTATTCGTATGTTCACAGAAACACTGAGGAAGTACCCGGTTCCCCCATTTCTGGCCGCTCTTCCCGTCTATATCAGTGCACTCTCCTCTATTCATATGTTCACAGAGGCACTGAGGAAGTACCCGGTTCTCCCATTTCTGGCCGCTCTTCCCGTCTATATCACTGCACTCTGCTCTGCACGTATGTTCACAGAGGCACTGAGGAAGTACCCGGTTCTCCCATTTCTGGCCGCTCTTCCCGTCTATATCACTGCACTCTGCTCTGCACGTATGTTCACAGAGGCACTGAGGAAGTACCCGGTTCTCCCATTTCTGGCCGCTCTTCCCGTCTATATCACTGCACTCTGCTCTGCACGTATGTTCACAGAGGCACTGAGGAAGTACCCGGTTCTCCCATTTCTGGCCGCTGTTCCCGTCTATATCACTGCACTCTGCTCTACACGTATGTTCACAGAGACACTGAGGAAGTACCCGGTTCTCCCATTTCTGGCCGCTCTTCCCGTCTATATCACTGCACTCTGCTCTATTCGTATGTTCACAGAGACACTGAGGAAATACCCGGTTCTCCCATTTCTGGAAGCTCTTCCCGTCCATATCACTGCACTCTCCTCTATT